TTTCTACATCTGTAACTCTGTTTCTGTTTTGTAGATAAGTTCATTTGTACCCTTTTTTTTAGATTCCACATATAAGTGATATCATATGATAGTTATCTTTCTCTGTTTGACTTACTTCACTCATTATGACAGTCTCTAGGTCCATCCATGTTGCTGCAAATGGCCTTAGTTCGTTCTTTTTTATGGCTGAGTAATATTCCATTGTACATATTACTACATCTTTATCCATTCATCTCTCAGTGGACATTGAGGTTGCTTCCATGTCCTGGCTATTGTAAATAGTGCTGCATTGAACATTGGGGTGCATGTATCTTTTCAAATTATGGTTTTCTCCAGATATATGCCCAGGATTGGGATTGCTGGATCATATGGTAGCTCTATTTTTAGTTTTTTAAGGAGCTTCCATACTGTTCTCCATAGCGGCTGTACCAGTTTACATTCCCACCAACAGTGTAGGAGGGTTCCCTCTTCTCCACACCCTCTCCAGAATTTATCGTTTGTAGATTTTTTTGATGATGGCCATTCTGATTGGTGTGAGGTGATACCTCACTGTAGTTTTGATTTGCATTTTTCTAATAATTAGTGATGTTGAGCATCTTTTCATGTGCTTTTAGCCATCTGTATGTCTTCTTTGGAGAAATGTCTATTTAGGTCTTCTGCCCATTTTTTGATTGGGTTGTTTGTTTTTCTGATATTGAGCTTCATGAGCTATTTGTATATTTTGGAGATTAATCCCTGTCACTTGCTTCATTTGCGAATATTTTCTCCCATTCTGAGGGTTGCCTTTTCGTTTCGTTTATTAATACCTTGGATGTTAAAGTTTTTAGTTCTTAAGTGTAATGTCTGGTTTGGGCCAAGTTCAATCTGTATCTGTAGTTCTAAAATAATTTCAGGTCAAATCAACCTAGGTATACCTATTCTGTACTCAGTTATTCTATGCAAGGCACTGTGAAAGCTATTAAAAATAAACAAACGAAAAAAGTCCAAATCAAAGTTAACCTAATATCTTTCCAGGTAATATCTCTATGTATTTGGGGAGAAAAGGAAGAACACAGGTCCACAATTCTTTTTTTTCTTTAACAATTTATTTATTTTTAATTTTTTTTGGCTGCGTCGGCTCTTGGTTGTGTCACGTGGGCTCTCTTGTTGAGGCACGCAAGCTCAGTAGTTGTGGTGCGTGAGCTTAGTTAGCTGTCACGCGGCGTGTGGGATCTTAGTTCCCCAAACAGGGATCGAACCCACATCTCCTGCACTGGAAGGTGGATTCTTTACCACTGGACCACCAGGGAAGTCCCAGAGTCCACGATTCTTAATCTGAAAATTCTGAGGTGGACGTGTTTGAGCAAAGGCAATATGGGACATATACTGTCCCATATTTAACGTCTTCAGATAGGTTTGGTGTGGAAACTATTTTTAACGTAGTGACATATGAATATTCATGCTGAGTGGGGAAAAATACAGACCTAAATAACCTGATGTCAGGTCAGGCATTCAGATTTTTGATTTTGGCAACTGTGAATAGCAGAATGTGGGCTTGTTTTAAAATGTGATCAGGTGTTAAGAAAATAATTACGAGTCACATTCAGAAAAAGGGAATATCAGAGGGTGTGGAGAAAAAGGAACCCTCCTACATTGTTGGTGGGAATGTAAATTGGTACACCCACTATGGAGAACAGGATGGAGTTTCCTTAAAAAAACTAAAAATAGAGCTACCATATGATCCTGCAATCCCACTCCCAGGCATATATCTGGAAAAGACAAAGACTCTAATTCAAAAAGATGCCTGCACCCCAAGGTTCATAGCAGCACTGTTTATAGTAGCCAAGACATGGAAGCAATCTAAATGTCATCGACAGATGAATAGATAAAGAAGATGTGGTGTGTATATATATATATATATATATACACACACATATATATACAGTGGACTATTACTCAGACATAAAAAAGAATGAAATAATGCTATTTACAGCAACATGATAGACCTAGAGATTATCATACTAAATGAAGCAAGTCAGACAAAGACAAGTATCATACAATATCACTTATATGTGGAATCTAAAATATGATACAAGTGAAGTTATTTACAAAAACAGAAACAGACTCATAGACATAGAAACAAACTTAGGTTTACCAAAGGAGATAGTGGCGGTGGTGGGGGAGAGACATTAGGAGTCTGGGATTAACAGATACACACCGCTGTATATAAATTAGATAAACAACAAGGACCTACTGTGGAGCACAGCGAACTATAGTCAATATCTTGTAATAACCTATAACGGAAAAGAATCTGAAAAAGAATAGATATAGACACATATATACTCCCACAGATATGTATAGCTGAATCACTTTGCCGTACAGTTGAAACTAACACAACATTGTAAATTAACTACACTTCAATAGAAAAAATGGTGAGAAAAGAATATATAAGTTCAAAACAGATAAAAAATTTTAATAAAAGGGAATATCACTGTGGGTGGTGACAGAAAAGGTGGGATATTTTTCTGATTTGGAGGTCTGGATGGGACTTCACCTTGCTCACTGTCGACTCTTGGGCAACTAGAATCACACCTGCCATGCATTTGGTGAATACATATTTGACAGATGAGTTATTAATGAAGAGAAGGGGAAGAACTTCCCCGTCAGAGGAGACTTGTGCCTGAGGAGGGGATGAATTTGATAGTCAGCGATCTGCTCTGATTGAAGACGAATACTCTGCAATAAATGTGGGTAGGTGAGGTGGGACCCCTTATGGGGAGTTACGTGTCTGTGCCTTACATGCTTCTTCAGCTGAGGAATTCGGATTGGATCTGATGACTTTAACTTTTAAATGGGGATGGGAGAGACCTAAAGGTAGTCAAAGTGGCTTGAAAAATAGAAAGTAGAAAAAACGATGGTGTTCAGAATGGATTATGGTTGTGTGTATGTCCCTGTAAGGATGCCCAACATGCAGGCATCAAATTGGAGGCCATGCTGAAGAAGCAGAGATTAGTCCAGAGTGTGAAGAAAATGCAGAGATTGCGATCTGTTGCATTTGGAAAGTGACAGGAAGTCAAAGAAAATTTTCAAAATTCTAATACTTGGTGATGAGAAATGCTGATCCCTTTGGCTGATAGGGGAAATTTGGAAGAGAAGTTGGAGAGGATATACGAATCGTATGACTTGGCGTATTGATTGGTTCATATTCTTCACATCTGTTTATATGATGTCTTTTGTATGTCATGTGTGTGTTCATAGATGTAAAATTTGTCCCAAGTCCCTAGTCCAGAGCTTTTAAGGACAATGTAGCAAGAAACAGTAAATCCTACATGACTTGAGTGTATGTGTTCTAGGTGCTGTTTCCAAGCTGCTTTTATAGGAGGTTTATTTAAATTTCATGTTAAAAAAGGAAAAACTGTGTTGAGTAGCATTAGTTCCCCCTTGTACCTTTCATTACGCATTAGCAATGAACTCTCCTTCTCTCGGGTTGATGAATTTGAACTTGATCTATTATCTGATAGTCATTACCAGCACAGAGTGATGATTATTGCTGAAGTAACATTCTTATTTCATTTCTCTTTGTATGTCGGGCACTTCTCAGAGGGCACATTTGTTTGCAGAATGTGACTTGCTCTTTTGGCTTCTGGCTTTGAGGCCACTATTTTAGGTTTCTTCAATAGAGTAGTATTGACAAAAATCCTCTGCTATTTAAAATTCTCTGGGCATGGTCTTCTAGCCTGTAGGAGACAGAAGGAGTGGGCTGTGGCTGGTGTTTTCTCCTCCAGCAGGCTCAAGCTCTGATTTTTGTGTTTCTTGACAGTTTCTTTTTTTTCCCAACTCCTGGCAGGGCTGACCTGCATCTTTCCCTGCTCTTGGAGTCAGTGTTTCCCATCATGAAGGTGCCTCTCTGCTACTTTGATTCTTGAGCCTTCTTAATAGTCTTGTGTAGGCTGAAGGGCCAGCCTTTCCTCTTCTGGTCCTTTGAGCTCTCTAGAGACAATCGAGAGAGAAGGTGTGTCTGTTGTGCTGGGGCTGCCGTAATCAAGTACCACAGACTGGGTGGCTTAAGCAACAGAAGTTTATTTTCGCAGAGTCCTCGGGGCTAGAGATCTGAGACAGGGCGTCCGCAGGGCTGGTTTCTACTGAGGGCCCCTCTCCACGGCTTGTGGATGGCCATCTTCTCCCTGTGTTTTCACACTGTCTTCCTTCCGTTTGCATCTGTGGCCTGATCTCTGCTTATAAGGATACCAGTCATATTGGATTAGGGCCCACCCTCATGACCTTGTTTTAACTTAACCCCTTCTTTTAAAGACCTTAGTTCCGTAAACAGTCACATTCTGAGATACTGGGGGTTAGGACTTCAGCATATGAATTTTGGGGGACACGATTTAGCAAAGAACAGACAGATAGGACATTTCAGAAGCTTGAAACTGAGTAAGGAGAACGAAACAAAAGGCAGCCAGTGAAACAGCCTCTGGTCCTCCTTTGGAGTCTCAGTGCTTCTTACTGGACAGTGCATGTAATGGCTCTTTAAAAAACCCTGAACAAAACAAGTTTTGCTTTACTTTTGAGTGAGTGATTTCCATGGTCTTCAAGAATCATCCGCACAACGGTTTCTTCCTGTGTCCTAATCAGCACCATATTATTTTTAAAAGGCTAAAAGTTTTCAAGACAAATCTGAAGAATAAGTAAACATAAGAAACATGAAAGGTGCCGTGCATCTTTGCAAATTGCATTGGTATGTGTGAGTACTACTTAATCAACTTTTTTTCATAACCACTGGCTCCTTACATTTTGGCCACCTGCAACAGTGTTTCAGGAGATCAACTTCCAACCATAAGTCATGAATACCAAGCTGCTAAGGCAAGTTGGTAAACACTCACTTTTGTCAAACGTTGTTTTTATAGGCAACGGGAATGCTGCTAACGTGAGTTAGCAAGGATTCTGAGTGCCACTGTTTGTTGACAGCTTTTCAGACTTGACTGTCTCGTATTTGCTAACATTTCGTCTCTTCCAAATAGGTATAAACGACCAAGGATTGTACAGAGTTGTGGGGGTGAGTTCAAAGGTCCAGAGACTTCTGAGTATGTTGATGGGTATGCCTCTTTTCTAATCATTTTCCATGCATTGTTTGTTTATGTTCGTTGTCTTTGCAACTCAGTGTTTCATAGTAACGTAACTTGGGAATCCATCCTTTTCGTCTGCTGTCTTGGAGTCCTTTTCTCCTGAGCAGAGACAGTTGGCTCAGAGAAGTCGGTTAGCGTTTGCTCAGGTCCCCCTTACTAAGAAATGGAGGAAGAAAAGAAGGCAGCTCATGGGTGAACGTCTTCTACTGCTTGCTTCTCCCAGGGGAGTAGCAGCCAGGCCTCTGTGATTGCATGGCTTCCAAATTGCCCGTCCAAAGTCTTGACAGTACATTTGGTTGCACAAGACCACTGGGACTCGCTCATTTTTCTGGAGCTTCCACAACTGTCACTCAACAGCAAGGGTCTGATTCTCAGGGATTCATTGGTATGCACAGTGGCTTGTTTGTAGTTTGCACCAGGCTGTTCTCCAGAACTATGCCTGCTCCATCTGTGCTGATAACACAGTGTTCTTTGGCATCGCAGACAAGAGGAAGCCAGAAAGTGAATTCATTTCATTACCCCAGACGTTATGTGAATGACAAAGCGCTTTTACATTACACTCTGCTGTCAGCTCAGTGCCACCTGTAAGAGGCCCTGCTCCTCCGCCCCCCATGACCCCAAAGCAGGCTGCCTCCTGGGGGGTGACGATAACTCATCAGGCTTGAGGGCCTGTGTGTCAAACCGATCTGTCATTATGACCTTGCTAAATATTAATGTATCTGATATCTCACTTTAATCAATATTAACAGTGCCCTCAGGTATTCTGTCAATGCATTTAAACCCGTCTGCATCTTAAAGCATTGTCGCAAAGACTTACTTTGAGCAAGCATCAACCGAGCTGAATCAAATCAGCCGGGATGTTACGGATAGCGTAGCTTGTTTGGCTGCGTTTGAATTCAGGATTTAATAAGCAACAACTCTTTTCTGAGCTTATTAACCACAGGAAAAATGCCTCGTCATGACTTGGAGAGCCTTATTAGAATACATTCGCTTTCGCGAGTTGTTTTCATTTTCTGCCTCTCTGGTTTGACTTGGGTATGCAATTTTGGCAGTCAGATTTTCCTTTTTACCATTAGTGGGCTCCAAATGAAATAGACTCAGGTTGCCAGTGGTTCAGTAGCAGCTGGCGGGGTTTAATGGGACGACAGCATCTGCTTTTAGTTAATTTTAAAATTAGAAACACTTCTCTCATTTCCAAGATGGTGTTATGGTGATTAGAACTGGAAGACTCTGTTGGTATCAGAAAGGGAGAAAGGCTGAAAGGCACACTTGGCAGTGAATCGGTTATAAGGACGATAGCTTTATTTTATTATCTTCTCATTCATGTTCAAGGGCAGCTCAAACAAGCAGGTGTCCCTGTGGTCACCCTGAGGTGTTAAGCTGTCTCCAGATGTGTTCTTAAACTTATAAAAACCATGTGATCATCCACATCCCTGGACTTGGGTGGTACTTTCCTCTGCTCATGGGAAATGTCCCAAGACAGTTCTGAACTTGCAAGGTGCTTGAAATATCTAAACCCTCAAAAATTCATGACCTGGAAAACTGTTTTCACTTTCCGTGAGGCTCAGCGTAGAGAAGTCCAGGACACAAGCATGACACAACCTCATTTAAGCTGCTGGCAAAAAGAAATGCCGTGTTTTCAGTAATATCATTCTGCAATCAGAGGAAATTAGAGAATTGACACAAGGGAAAGATACTGACTTACTGTTTTCTTATTAAGTAATGCATTTAAGGGAACGGCACAGGATAAATTAATTTCACTTCATCTCTAAATAATTCCTAGTATGAATTTAAGATGGTCAGTCACAAACTTTGGATTTTTATTAGCATTAATATCATTTTCTTGTTACTTTATGTTACCAACTCAAACTTCAGCTCTTAACGAAAGAGATTTATTCACTATTTCCTAATGAATTTAAGATTACCTTAAGATGTTTCTTTGCTTTCTTCCTGATTCAGCAAGTGTTCAAATTGAACTAACTTACACCTCTTCCAAAAAAAGAATTCGAGTTTCTGAATAGTTGTGTACACACTGTCCTGTAGATATTCATTTTCTACATTTCCCAACCTCTCTACATTGTTTCAAAGTTATATATGTTTAAGAGAAAAAAATTGGGTGAGTCTGCCAGATTTTTAATTTTGCTCTTTTGTACCAATCTATTTTTTTCCCTCCAGTAGACAATTAATTCTGATAATTTTGCCCATTTGTGGTACTAGGAGTTATTTTTTAAAATTTATTTATTTATTTATTTACTTTTAAAAAGCAAAAATTTTTTATTTTGAAATAATCTCTAGCCTGCAGAAAAATTGCAAGTAAATAGTACAATAGACTCCCATAATACCCCTTCCCCAGATTTACCAAGTTTTAACATTTTTAGGCAGTTATTTTTTTAAAATTTCGATTCCTCCAGATAACGTTTATTTCAAATTTGAATTTTTTCAAAGTACTTTTTGTTTGGAATGCGTTTTTCTTTGCAGAAATGAAAAGTAACCTAACTTTTTAAAAGTCTGAGATAAAGTTCCAAGTCGTTTTATATTTTTTGACAGGAACTTCTGTTCACTTTGGTTCTCTTTAGTTCTTGAGAGCTAATCATTTACTTTGCTATTATTTTTCCTTTATTGCCATTTTTACATAAAATATTTTTGTATTTAAAATATTTTCAGCATTCTTTAAATACTCCTGTGTAAAAGTTTGTGGTGATTTCTAAAAGAAGGATGCATGCTTAATATCTTGCACGTTTTCTTCACTTGTGTCTCTACTGTGTGTGTTTTCATGACCTTCATGTTTAAAATTACAATAGAGAAAAATATTTCTCTCTGTTCTTCTTCTCCTTCCCCTTCCTGTTCTTCTTCTTCCCCTCCCCCATTCCTTTTTCTCGCTCCCCTTTCCTCCCCTGCCCCTTTCTTCTCTCCTCTCCGCCACACATGAAGTACTAATGGCAGCTGACCACCATTTGTACTCCTCCAGGTCAGGTAAAGGAGTGGGCAGCTGCCCTTCTCCCCTGGTGATGAGAGTTGTTTGCCTTCTTGGTCAGCTTCCATCCCTGGGGGCAGAAAGTAGCGGTCTGCTGGATTTTCCAACAGCCTCCTAGCTTTCCCTTGGACCAAGTTTCTTAAGGTTCCACAAGAACATGCCCCAGTGAGCAATTACATTCCTTCCCTTTACAGGTGTTTTTCTTTTCCTTCTTTTTTTTTTTTTTTTTTTTGGCTCTAACAGAGGGCACACATAGTCTGGTAGAATTTTTTTTTTTTACTAGAAACTTGAAGCAATTGGGGAAGGCAGGGAGAAATAGCAGATGAGGTGTCTTTGGGTGAGTCACGGTGTTTTAGTAAGTGGGGTGAAAATGTAACAGATGAATTATCGCAATTGGTAGGTTGGAACTCTGCTGAGTTAGAATTGTCCTGTGTTCTTCCTTCTTCTCCTTCTTTGGAATGAAAGCATCAGAGCAGGGAAGGGAAAGTGCTGGGAAAATGTGGTGGTAGCTTGTGTGTGCTGGTGAATTTTCTGTTTGTTTCTAAATTTAATTTGTAAAAACAGCTGGATGATTTTATTTTAAGACAGAGAACCATAGAAAGCCAGAAATCAGACTAATTTAGGGGAGTTTTACTATAAACGTATTACCATGTTTACTTTGTTTGTAGGACTTTTTACAAAGATTGAGGGAAAAAGTAAACTAACGTAGCTGAAAAAGATTCTGATTTTGGATTATAAAGAATATTCTCCAAACTCATTCAATCACTGGGCGTCTTCAAGTACTTTCGACTGGGACCCAAGTCAGTGTCGAGTAGGGTGCCAGCACGTGGGGCTGGGCTGAAAGTTTCCGGTTTCAAAAAAGTGACCACTGGTTATAGAATTATGAAGCATTTACCGAAATAAAAAGTCAACTATTTGTATCTCTGTTCATTAGTTTAGGTTTTAAACTAATCCACGAGGTGTGGTGTTCCTTGGCCAGAAAGGAAACAGAATTTCTACCTTATTTATGGTAGAACATACATTCTGATAGAACACTCTAAATGCATTTTTAAGTTTGAATCCCAAATAAGTTATTAACAAATTTACCTAGTCTCAGTGTATCCACGGATTGTTAAGAGCTGCTAGGGATGATTGAGTTATTTGAAAACAGTGAAAATTTAATAGAGGATTAATACCATAGACATTATGTAGTCATTGGCTTCTCGTGTGACAGTTCCTTTTTATTCCATGGATTCAAAGGATGGCTTATTTTTTCATATAAAGACTATGGTTCTCAAAATATAGAATGATCATTTGGTCAAAAGCTGAAAATAAAAGATTTCCTTTAGAAGCCTCCTGGATTTTAAAATGGTGATTTGCTGGTAGCAAGTTGATTGAAAATGTTATCTGACTTGTATGAGATTTAAATAATTGACTTAATGACAGAGAGAATATTCAGTTACTGCAGTAATTGGTTGGCAAAGCCTTTAGAACAGAATTATTTAGTCCTACTTATAAAGGATTGCACCTTTAATCAGAGTGCTTAATTTGATTTCTTGAATGTATCTATGGCTTGTCTGACAAACTCAGTAACAAATGAGTTCTGAACTGTAGGAACCGATCAAAATGTAATCAGTGTCAATTGCCATTGTTGTAGTTTATCGCATATTGCTGTCAGTTGCTGTAATCGAGAGCTGTTGAGGTGCTTTGAAAAGTTTCCAGACTTTTGAGTAATCGACTTCATGTATCTGATGTTATGGCTGTGAAATAACCATCACTTCCTGTTTTACTTTATTTTCAAAAAGTTTGAGAAATAACATTGCATTGTCACCCCTCCTTTCCCATGCCGAAGCCTCAGACTTTTTAAGTGGCATGCATGACTTAACATGGTGGTCCCATTTGGACAGGATTTTCTTTTTGAACTTTAGTTTGAAAAGGGTATACTAACAAGTTTCCTTCTGTATATAGACAAATAACAGTGTAAGGGAGGAAAAAATACCTGAAACGACTAGTTTTCTAGGGGGATCTTAGTTGAAACATCATTCTGGAGTGAGGGAGAAGTAAGTGTTTTCCACAAATCTCTTATTTTCTCCTTTGTGTGATTGGAGCGTAGAAACTCACTCCAGTTTCTGTTGATTGTTTGATGTCTTTCATCATAAGCCATTTACTGCTCCCTCCCAAGGGTAGGTACCACCACTGAGCGCTTATACTTTTGGTGACTCAGCTGTGGTAATTACCCACTCATTTGATGATTTATGGAAATCTGCGTACATTCCTGATTTGCTTTGATGCTCTCAGTAGTTCCACGAGAGCGTGTACGTTATCTCCGTCGTGCACATGAAGAGCTGAAGTTCAGAGAGGTTTGGAGCTGACTTGTTGGGGTGGTGAGGCTGGTCAGGGCTGAGGCGGGATTGAAGCCCAGGTGTGTGTCCCTTGCTGCACGCTCCTCTCTGCTGCCAGGTCATGGCCAAGTGCAGTAGCCCCGCCTCACAAGGCTCGGAGATGCCACCACACTTGGAATGCTTGCCTTTCCCACTATCCTTTCCTTTTATTTCAACCAGGGTTGACGTTTTCCTTTACAGAACTAATTGCGCTGCCCTCCTCCTCCTTCAACTCTTCTACTTCTTCTTTTTTTTAGTGCCTGTTTTACATCTTCTTTAGAGTTTACTAGATATTTGAAAGGGCATTTGTAAGAAATGCATCATTAACATACTTTTAGGACAAAGAAAACTAATTTAGAATGAATGTCAGACATGTTACATAGAGGCTTCTAGTAAATATTTCTTGGATGAGTGTATAGATTGTAACGTTAATGTGCAAGATTACCCATGAAAGACTTTTTAAGTTTATGTGTCATTTCTGTTTTGGTTGATCACGTATTAGTCTTCAGAAAGATAATATGATGAGTATAAACCTTAGAAGTGTGGGACCAGACTTACCATCCTTTGCCCCCACTGACTTCTTGTTCTTCTAATAGGAATTTTGCCATTAAGGGTACTGCCTGTTTCCCCTGTCATGACACAGTGTGATAGCAATCGTGCCACCTGAAACAAGTTCAAATGTATAGACACTGCAAAATGCCACATGCCGTAAGCCATGGCTACTGAGTAGTACCTTCTAATAAGAGTAGTAGTAGTAATAATAATAGCTGTACATGCTTTGCAGTTATGAATATTTAAATGCTCTGTCCAGTTCTCCCCTACTCCCAGCCCAACCCTTATCCTTTTACTTCGATCTTCACTACAGATTTTCTGAAGTGCGAGAAATGTCTGATAAAAGAATATGGCTTATAATATGATAAGAAATTATATGTAACGTTTTTATAGGAAACCACAGAATTCAATATTTGTGGTTTGGCTGTTTAAAGATGAGCCATTTGGTCAAGGTTTGAATTATTTTTTTCTTCCTTGCTTGCTCACCAGATGTGAAAACCTGCAATGAGGTGGACCTGGAGAATTCTATAGATTGGGAAGTGAAGACAATAACGAGTGCCCTGAAACAGTATTTGAGGTGAGCTCCTCTCGGTAGTGGGGCGGGGGGAGAGCGGACTGTGTGGATGTTTAACACACAGCAAATGCAGACTCCGAACATGCATCTCAAAAGTCAAACCTTATGAGAAAGGAGAACATTTATGAGGTACCTAACGATGTCCCAGGAAGTGTGGGACATAGTCAGTGAACATCAGTTGATAGATAAATTGCAACAGAACAGACCTGGAATAGACTTGGGTTTTGAAATAGAGTCTACTGTGGATGTGAGTTTTTGGAATTAAATCCTCTGAAACAGTAAGGAAGAAGGCTGTTTATTACATTCATTGAATCTTTTCTTTATGTTGTGGGCTAAAATGAAGACGTTTTCGTTTAAGTGTAAACCATGTGAACTTAAAGGATTATACTGATGACATACATATACCGAGCGATTTGAAAAGAAGTTTACTTGATGAGGTTTTTTATTTTTTTTTTAAGATAAACAGTTTTATATCTACTATAGGAAGTATCTAGGATTAGAGCTTGAAAAGCTTCAGCATTTCTTTGAGCATTCACCTTTTGAGAAAAGAAAGGAAATGAATGATCACAAAGCTTGAGGATAGATGAAGGATAAGTACACGGAGTAAGGGAATGGAAAACAGTCACGACTGTAATTCTTAGGCTGTGGGTCCGCTGGGGACTTCGCTTTTTGCCTGGCAGACAAATGGCACTGCTCCCCCATCATCAGTTCTTTTTAACCAACCCACAGGATTGATTTTCAGGTAAATACTATTTGGGTTCCAACAAGCACATTCGAATCAACTTACATTACATATTTTGTGTTTTAAAAAATTTGTATATTTTAAAAATTTCAAATTTATACAGGCGGAGAGATGAGTATAATGACTCCTCATGGCCCCATTATCCTGCTCTTCAGTTTTCAACATTCGACACTTCTTGTTTCATTAGTCTCTCTACTGCCACTTTTTGGAATAATACTTTAAAGATTTTCTAAAACATATTGCTGTACTCATAAATACTTGAGTGCATATCTCAAAAAAGGTAAGGACTTAAAAAAAGGACGTTATAGAAAAGACAAAAAGAATATAATTATCATACCTAACAAAATGCGTATGATGCAGTACTCAATCTGTGTTCCATTTTTACAGATTTTTTTTTCAAAAACGTATTTTAATGTTTGTTTTAATTCCTTCAGGATTTCAACACTGTCAGCACATTTCATTTGGTTGGTATGTTTTAAGTCGTTTTTCATTTGTGCAGTCCCCTCCCTCTACCCCGCCCCCCCAGCATTTAATTTGTTGATGAACCTGAGTCATTTTTACTCTTTTTTTTAATTTTTTAATTTTTTTTTTTTTTTTGCGGTACGCAGGCCTTTCACTGTTGCGGCCTCTCCCGTTGCGGAGCACAGGCTCCGGACGCGCAGGCTCAGCGCCCATGGCTCAGGGGCCCAGACGCTCTGCGGCATGTGGGATCTTCCCGGACCGGGGCACGAACCCGTGTCCCCTGCATCGGCAGGCGGACTCTCAACTACTGCGCCACCAGGGAAGCCCCTGAGTCATTTTTTAAAATAGAATTTTCCACATTTTAGATATGGCTGGTGGTATCCTCAGCTTTCTCTGTTATCTGTCATGTTTCCTATAAGCTAATAGTTAAATCTGTAGGCTTCGTTAGATTCACATTCGGCTTTTGTTTGTTTATTTATTGTAAGAATACATCATAGCAGTGCTGTATTCTTCCTGTTGTGTTATTACATCAGGAGGCCTGTGTTGTCCAGTTGGCCCACTTTTTAATGAAATTAACATTTATCAGTGGGTTCAGGTGTGTGTTACCTATTTTCAAGTATTTTATTTAAAGAAGATTTATTTTTTATTTTTTTACATCTTTATTGTAGTATAATTGCTTTACAATGGTGTGTTAGTTTCTGCTTTATAGCAAAGAGAATCAGTTATACATATACATATGTTCCCATATCTCTTCCCTCTTGCGTCTCCCTCCCTCCCACCCTCCCTATCCCACCCCTCTAGGGGTCACAAAGCACTGAGCTGATCTCCCTGTGTTTTGCGGCTGCTTCTCCCTAGCTATCTGTTTTACATTTGGTAGTGTGTATATGTCCATGCCACTCTCTCACTTTGTCTCAGCTTACCCTTCCCCCTCCCCGTATCCTCAAGTCCATTCTTTGGTAGGTCTGTGTCTTTATTCCCGTCTTACCCCTAGGTTCTTCGTGACATTTTTTTTTTCCTGGATTCCATTTACATGTGTTAGCATACAGTATTTGTCTTTCTCTTTCTGACTTACTTCACTCTGTATGACAGACTCTAGGTCCATCCACCTCACTACAAATAACTCAATTTCGTTTCTTTTTATGGCTGAGTAATATTCCATTTTATATATGTGCCACATCTTCTTTATACATTCTTCCGATGATGGACACTTAGGTTGCTTCCATCTCCTGGCTATTGTAAATAGAGTTGCAATGAACATTTTGGTACATGACTCTTTTTGAATTATGGTTTTCTCAGGGTATATGCCCAGTAGTGGGATTGCTGGGTCATATGGTAGTTCTATTTGCAGTTTTTTAAGGAACCTCCATACTGTTCTCCATAGTGGCTGTACCAATTCACATTCCCACCAGCAGTGTAAGAGGGTTCCCTTTTCTCCACACCCTCTCCAGCATTTATTGTTTCTACATTTTTTGTTGATGGCCATTCTGACCAGTGTGAGATGTTATCTCATTGTAGTTTTGATTTGCATTTCTCTAATGATTAATGATGTTGAGCGCTCTTTCATGTGTTTGTTGGCAATCTGTATATCTTCTTCGGAGAAATGTCTATTTAGCTCCTCTGCCCATTTTTGGATTGTGTTGTTTGTTTTTTTGATGTTGAGCTGCATTAGCTGCTTGTAAATTTTGGAGATTAATCCTTTGTCGGTTGCTTCATTTGCAAATATTTTCTCCCATTCTGAGGGTTGTTTTTTGGTCTTGTTTATGGTTTCCTTTGCTGTGCAAAAGCTTTTAAGTTTCATTAGGTCCTATTTGTTTATTTTTGTTTTTATTTCCATTTCTCTAGGAGGTGGGTCAAAAAGGATCTTGCTGTGATTTATGTCATAGAGTGTTCTGGCTATGTTTTCCTCTTAGAGTTTGATAGTTTCTGGCCTTACATTTAGGTCTTTAATCCATTTTGAGCTTATTTTTGTGTATGGTGTTAGGGAGTGTTCTAATTTCATACTTATACATGTACCTGTCCGGTTTTCCCAGCACCACTTATTGATGAGGCTGTCCTATTTCCACTGTACATTCCTGCCTCCTTTATCAAAGATAAGGTGACCATATGTGTGTGGGTTTATCTCTGGGCTTTCTATCCTGTTACACTGATCTATATTTCTGTTTTTGTGCCAGTACCATACTGTCTTTTTTTTTTTTTAACATTTTTATTGGGGTATAATTGCTTTACAATTGTCTGTTAGTTTCTGCTTTATAACAAAGTGAATCAGTTATACATATACATGTGTTCCCATATCTCTTCCCTCTTAGTACCATACTGTCTTGATTACTGTTGCTTTGTAGTATAGTCTGAAGTCAGGGAGCTTGTTTCCTCCAGCTCCATTTTTCGTTCTCAAGATTGCTTTGGCTATTCGGGGTCTTTTGTGTTTCCATACAAATTGTGAACTTTTTTGTTCCAGTTCTGTGAAAAATACCATTGGTAGTTTGATAGGGATTGCATTGAATCCGTAGATTGCTTTGGGTAATAGAGTCATTTTCACAATGTTGATTCTTCCAATCCAAGAACATAGTATATCTCTCCATCTATTGGTATCATCTTTAATTTCTTTCATCAGTGTCTTATAATTTTCTGCATACAGGTCTTTTGTCTCCTTAAGTAGGTTTATTCCTAGATAGGTAGGTTTATTCCTAGAAATTTTATTCTTTTTGTTGCAGTGGTAAATGGGAGTGTTTTCTTAATTTCACTTTCAGATTTTTCATCATTAGTGTATAGGAATGCCAGAGATTTCTGTGCATTAATTTTGTATCCTGCTACTTTACCAAATTCATTGATTAGCTCTAGTAGTTTTCTGTAGCATCTTTAGGATTCTCTATGTATAGTTTCATGTCATCTGCAAACAGTGACACCTTTACTTCTTCTTTTCCGATTTGGATTCCTTTTATTTCTTTTTCTTCTCTGACGGCTGTGGCTAAAACTTCCAAAACTATGTTGAATAAGAGTGGTGAGAGTGGGCAACTTTGTCTTGTTCCTGATCTTAGTGGAAATGGTTTCAGTTTTTCACCATTGAGGAGAGTGCTGGCTGTGGGTTTGTCATATATGGCCTTTATTATGTTGAGGAAAGTTCCCTCTCTGCCTACTTTCTGCAGGGTTTTTATCATAAAAGGGTGTTGAATTTTGTTGAAAGCTTTCTCTGCATCTATTGAGATGATCATATGGTTTTTTTCCTTCAGTTTGTTAATATGGTGTATCACGTTGAGTGAGTTGCGTATATTGAAGAATTCTTGCATTCCTAGCATAAACCCCACTTGATCATGGTGTATGATCCTTTTAATGTGCTGTTGGATTCTGTTTGCTAGTATTTTGTTGAGGATTTTTGCATCTATGTTCCTCAGTGATATTGGCCTGTAGTTTTCTTTCTTTGTGACATCTTTGTCTGCTTTTGGTATCAGGGTGATGGTGGCTTCGTAGACTGAGTTTGGGAGTGTTCCTCCCTCTGCTATATTTTGGAAGAGTTGGAGAAGGATAGGTGTTAGCTCTTCTCTGAATGTTTGATAGAATTCACCTGTGAAGCCATCTGGTCTTGGGCTTTTGTTTTTTGGAAGATATTTGATCACAGTTTCAATTTCAGTGCTTGTGATTGGTCTGTTCATATTTTCTATTTATTCCTGGTTCAGTCTCAGAAGGTTGTATTTATCTAGGAATTTGTCCATTTCTTCCAGGTTGTCCATTTTATTGGCATAGAGTTGCTTGTAGTAATCTCTCATGATCCTTTTTATTGCTTCAGTGTCAGTTACTTCTCCTT